GGGACTGGTCCCACCGGCACAGGGTAGCAGGAAGCTCTCCACACACTCACCGGACCTGGGCTAGGACTGGGTCTGGGGTTTCCCGGAAGTTGGCAGAAATTCCTATTCCTTGGGTGGGGTGGGGGAGGTACTGCGGAGTGGTGGGGAGCGGCCCGAGGGGGTGGGAGAGGGTCCGGCCCACGCTGAGCCTGGGCTGGGACTGGTCCCACCGGCTCAGGGTAGCAGGAAGCTCTCCACATGCTCACCGGACCTGGGCTAGGACTGGGTCTCTAATCCACTTGTTTTTTTATTTTTATTTTTTATAATTTTATTGAGTAAAAATAGCAATGAGACAGTTTCAAATCAAATTGGTAGGACAGTCACAATAATTAACACATTGCATATTGCCTTCCTAGTTGTTGTTTTTTTGTGCAAGAGGCAGAAATGATATCCTAGTTAAAAACACTATTAAAACAAATCCCTCTATTTCTTGAATTAAGAGGATGTAGCTATTTCTCTATCCTGACCATTTTGAATACACAGATAGAAAATACACATTCCTCTACATCCCCTTTTTTGTTTAGTTCCATCATTTGAATATTATATGTGTGTGAACTAAACAAAATATTCCAAAATAGTCCAATAGTCCATAATAGTATTGGGTCTTCCACTTGACTGGCAATATCAGAAGTTGTGGAACTAAGTCCTGTACAGCTCAACATAACAACATGGCTTTACTTTTTTGTACTTCGTTTTTATACATTTCTGCTGGATTGTTAATACCAAGATAAAGCAAGATCTATTCAACAAGAGTTGTAGCTTTTGGATCTGATAAGGTCAGTCAAATCCCCTCAGAATTTATCTTGAAACCCTGTACTGAAATTTGTAGATCTTTTGTCAGTGTCAGCCATGTGGATGAGTCATCGCCTTTCCTTGGCCAATTTGCTCTTTGTGAAAGACTGAGAGAGTGTTTTCTCTCCATGTGACTCTCCTTAGGCACACTCTACATCATTGATCACTTTCCCCTTTCGCCCCATAATCTCCTTGATCAGAAAATTTGGGACACATCTGAGTTACATGATATTATAGTACAAGTTCTCATATGTCCTGAGTCTTTACTGACCTTGGAAGGCTAGGGCCAAATGTTGGCTCTACTTGTGGCCCTCATTGGTCTCTAATTTTTAGTTTGTAAACTTAGGTTGCTAACCCTCCAGAATATAAGTTAATGAAATTACTACCCTAGAACATAGGCAGTTGAGCTTGACTGCACTATCTGTCTGAATATCAAACATCTTAGGCATAACATGGAACAGGTATTTTTCATCAAGTATTGATATGTTGAAATTTAAGTCCCTAAAGAATATGACAAAAAATTAAAAAAAATTAAAATATATTTAAAAGATAGGAATGAAGAATTATATATGTTTACACATAAGTCCAGAAAACCAACCATATACAACATTGTTGCAGGAAGTCCCACAACACTCCTTTTCCTGTCTCCTGCCTTCATTCACCACCCCATTAACTTTAAAACAATCATCTACTCAAGAGACAGTATGGCAGCAACTGGTGTGTCATGACAAGCAGCACGTATTCAGAAGACAGGCACTCAAAGCATGAACCTACTATTACAAACTGCCATCTTCGGTGCAGTTGCTTAGTTTACAGGTGTCAGTATATATAGTTAGCCAGGGAGAGAATCCTTCCAAATAACTGCTAGATTCGAAAATCTTCTGAAGATTCTCAGGATCATTGCTTTACCCATCTTGTACATATAACTGTATGGCTTGCCTCTGTCATGTTTCCTAGCTCTTATCCTGGAGCTCTCTTCATTTTCTAGTCCTCAAGTTATTGCTTTCCTTTTAATTGTATTATACCTTTCTATTTGTGTTTCTTCTTTTGAGTTCTTATACTAGGGAAACTATATGATATTTACACATGTGTGTCTGGTTTATTTCACTTATGAGTATATATCTTCAAGTGGCAACCACATCTATATAAAGGTTTTGAGTTTATCATTCTTTAGAGCTGAGTAATACTTCATTGTATAAAAGTACCACATCTTTTTCAACCATTCTTCAGGTGATGGGCATCTTGGTTGTTTCCAAGAATTGACTATCACAAATTGTGCTGCTATAAACATAGGCACACATATATCACTATGATATGATGTTTTCAGATCCTCTGGGAAAATTCCCAGTAGAGAAATAGCTGGTTTAAATGGTATTTCCAGTCCTAGTTTTATAAGGAGTCTCCATACTGATTTCCATAATGGTTATGCAAGTCTACATTCCCACCAGCAGTGGAGAAGGGTTCCTTTCTCCAACAGCCTCTTCAACACTTGTTGTTGGGTGATTTCTTTATGATAGCCATTCTTTCTGGGGTGAAATGATATCTCAATGTTGTGTTAATTTGCATTTTTCAGATGGCTAGTGATGCAGAACTTCTTTTCTTTTTCCTTTTTTTTTTTTTTTTTTTTTTTTTTTTTTTTTTTTTTCTTTTGTGGAACCGGGGATTGATCTGAGGCCCTTGCATTTGCCAGGGAAGTGCTTATTCCACTGAGCCATCTCCCTGGCCCCTTTTTTCATACATCTATTTGCTTTAATTTCATCCTCTGAGAAGCGTGTGTTCATCTTGTATGCCCATTTCTGGACTAGGGCTTTAAAGTTTAGGGCCCTAGTGTTTTTTAGTTCTTTATAAATTGTAGACAGCGACATTCTGGAAATCTCCAGACTCAGTCTTAGCCCAGGTCCTGTGAGTGTGTGGGAGAGCTTCCAGCTACCCTGTGCTGGCATGACCTACTGGTCCCAGCCCAGGTGCAGCATGGGTGACACCCCCTTTTACCCTCTTGGGATGCACCCCATGACTCCATAGTACTCCACCACACCCCAACCACAAAGTAGGAATTTCGTTCTTGTTCTGAGAACTCCCAGATCCAGCCCTAGTCCAGGCCCGGTGAGTGTGTGGGTGAGCTGCCTCTCACCCCTAATCCACCTTGTCCACTCCAGACTCAGCTCAGGCCTGGCATACAGGCCTGGGGTGAAACCATTCAGCTGAAATCCCTGCAGAGTGTACAGGACAGAACCACCCAGCTAGTCCAGTTGCAGAACATCTTGTCAGAGGGGCACAACAGGATCACCCCGATAGGCAGCAACAGAAAGGAACTGAGAACAGCAGCCAGACTCAAGCCAGGCACAGCTCGATAAATCCGAACTTTGTAGATCTACACCTGAACTTCAGTAGGAGCTAAGGCTATAACTGCAACAAAGATCTACAACAAAGGTCAGAAGACAGTGCTACACAAAATGACAATGATAAGGAGCAAAATGCAATTACAGAACCCAAGCCCACCCATAACAATTGCAGAGGACACTAACACAGAACAAATTGGGAATCACAGAGCTGAAATGAATCAATGGCTTCTGAAATAAAGAAATAGCTGCAGGAAGGTATAGAGGAACTGAGAAATCCCTGAATTAATAACATCTGCAGTGAAGAATGAAATGCAGAACCATATGGAGGAAACACAATACCCACCCAGAACAAGTGCAGAGGACACTAGCTCAGCTCTAAAGTGTGAATTAATAGTGTTGATAGCAAATAAGCAACAGCAGAAAGTCATAGAGGATCTCAGAGTGGAATTATTTTCTGAAATAAAAAAAGAATTCTCAGAACTCAAAGCATCTGAAGTAAAGAATCAACTACAGAAGCATAGGGAGGAAAGCCAATCTGAAAAAAAAAACACTGCAGTAAAATAATTTATAACTGCTTCTAAAGAAGACATTGATTAAAAAAAAATAGAGGACATTAGAAAAATGACGGATTCCTTGAATGAGCGATACAGGAAAGAAATAGATCGCATGAAGCAGAGTCAAAGAGATATAGAGGAAATTAAAATCTCAATCACAAGCTTGCAAAACCATTTAAGTGAAAGTGAGGACAGAGTTTCAGATCTTGAAGACGCTGGTGCAGCTAGTGAAAAATGTAAGAAAGGATCTCTTAAAAACAACTAGGATGCAGGAAAGAATAATCCATCACTTGCAAAATGATGCAAAGATGAACAATATGAGACTAATAGGCATCAATGAGATAGAAGGAGTCAATACAAAGGACATTAAAAAAATATGGGCAGAAGTAAGAGCAGAAAACTTCCCAAATATGAGGAAACAATCTGACATTCAGGTAACTGAAGGACACAGAATGCCAAGAAACCTCAACCCAATTAAAAACACACCGAGTGCTCGATTCGGCAGCACATATACTAAAATTGGAAAGATAAAGAGAAGATTAGCATGGCCCCTGTGCAAGGATGACACACATATTCGTGAAGTGTTTCATATTAAAAAAAAAAAAACCAAGACATATAATAGTCAGGAACCAGAAATGCAGCACAAGAATAATATACTGAAAGCTGATAGAGAAAAGAAGCAGATCACATTCAAAGGAAAACCCAGCAGAATTACAGCCGACTTCTTTTCACAAACCATGAAGTCAAGAAGAGCATGAGCACAGTACTTCGATCCTCTATGAATACAAATTCCAGCGCAGACTACTATACACTGCAAAATTCTCTTTCAAGTTTGAGGGAGAAGAGAAATACTTTCATGAAAAAGAACAGCTAAAGAATTTCATGATGACAAAGTCAAACCTACACAGGCAACTGAAAGATGTTGTAGAGAGGGACCAAAATGATCAGAACTCCACGAATGAGATCAGAAGCAACCAACAAAATAGGGCAAGCAATTAAACACAGGAGAAAAAGTAGTAAACGACAACAGGTAAATATCATATCAATCGTAAGTCAATACATCTCAATTATAACCTTCAATGTACATGGACTCAATTCACCAATTAAGAG